TTGCCTCCAAGAAGCAGCCTGGTTTAACCCTCTCTAGGATGAATCCGTTTGTTTTCTTCGCAGTCCATGGTACATTCAATACTCTTCTCCAGCACCACAGCTCAAAGGCGTCCATTCTCCTTCTATCCTCCCTAGTCATTGTCCAACTCTGTGATGCATAACAAGTGATTGCAAAGACCATGGCCTGTATCAAGCGCACCTTAGTCTCCAAAGAGACACCGCTGCTCTTGAGTACTTTAGAGAGGTCCCTAACCGCAGACTTTCCCATCGCAATACGTTTTTTTATTTCCTGGCTACTGGTGCCAAGAGTGTTGACCGTGGAGCCGAGAAAACTGAAGCTGTGAACAATCTCGATCTCTTCGCCATCCACCCTATTGGTCCAGTGGTGAGAATTTTTGTCTTCTTGACATTGAGCCTCGGTCCATATTGAAGGCTGCAGTCCTTGACCCTCTGCAGTAACTGAGTTTTGAGATTATGTGGTAAAAGTCATGGACTTTGTACACAGAAAGAACATAAGTTGTTTGGGGAACAAAGTAGTATACCCGATTTGAGGGTGCTTATCAAATATGAGGGGTTTATCAGAAAGAAAGGAAGGGCTTGGAAGGAGAAGCAGTGTGGGCCTTAGCTGGAAGGTTTAGGACACAGAACCCTACCATACGTGAAGTGACAAAATAGTAGAATAGTATTCTTTCATTAATATTAATAAAGCTTTTATATATTCTGCAACTTTCTGGAAAGAGGTGAGGTTTTCTGGGAACTGATTTATGTAGGTAGGGTTATAGAAATGTGTAGTTTGACTTTTGAGGAAGGTTCTAAAATGGTCATAGGATGCTGAACCGGATCCAAATGGTTTTGCCTAAGGGTAGCTTAAAAGGAAGTTCACACTCAATCATTGCTCATAGCTGAACTAGCTCACCCTACAGAAGATTTTCAGAGATTGTAAATATACTGGAAGAAATTGTTCACTTTTTTCCCCTTGGAGTTGCTGGTGGATTCAAATCTGGGAGGTCCTCTCCTTTGGCAGCACAGCTCCAGAGAAACTAATCCACTAGAGAACCATCCCTAAGAGGAAGTTAGTGGTTACAAACTAAGAGGGTATTGTGAGTGGTGAAGGAGGAGGAGGGTTCTAAATTTCCCTAACTCAAAAGTCTAGAATGTTAGAGTTTGAATAACATTCCCTTAAAAAAAAATAGTACTGTGATTCTTAATCCCATTTAGATAGGGGTTTTCTTTACATTAATGAGATGGTGTACAGAGTTGTTTTAAGTCACTTCTGGGGTATACAAAGAAAACGAGGCCGGCAGAAATGGGGGGAAATTGAAGAAGATCGTGGAGGAATATCGAAAAGAGACGAGAACTCTCCTGCAAAACTGACAGAACTGCCACTCTGAATTCAGGCTTCTAGCCTCCTAAACTGTGAGAAAACCTGTTTGTTAAAGACGCCCACTGTGCTGTTTCTGTTACAGCTGCTCCAGAGAACTAAGCTGCCTGTGTGAAGGATACCTCCTCCTCCTTCTGATTTAGTCAAGGTTGAGAGGCACCACAGGTATCTTCTTTATTAGAAAGGATCTATCATGGAGGATTTCAATGTATTTAGATTTCTTTGTGTCCTCGGTTCTTCAGTGAGTGGTTTTGCTTTAATCATGATTATGTAACTAAACCAACTTAACATTTGGTTTTGGGGTTGTTTTTTTTTACGATGAGAGCAAAGATCTCTTGAAACATTCTTCATTCACTTTCACTGCAATCTTTGTGGTGAATGAAGTCAGTTCATCAGGGAGAGTTTTTAAGCTATGTCCTTCACTCATATCCCCAGAATCCTTGAAAGCAGAAAAAAAAAAGGGTGGGGGTAGAAATCACTTTAAGAGTATTACTATTTTAGCCAAAAGATAAAAAGCATATATTAAAATAATACAAAACAAAAACCAAAAGCCAAAATTAGTTGTCACCTCACAAAACCAAGAACTGAACTGTGGCCCACAGGGTTTTCACCGGTTAACATTTCAGAAGTAGATCATCAGGATTTTCTTCCAGTTCGCATCTGGGTAGCCTCCACCATCTAACCTTTTGGTTAGCAGCCCAGTACATTAAATATTTGCATCACTAAAGATCGTAAATACTGTAGGTACATTATTTCTTATATGCCATCAAGTGGGCTACAACTCATAGCGACCCTATACACAATAGTTCTGAACTCTGCTCTATCTGGAGCCGATCTCATGGCCTCTAACACATCTACCCTCATTATCCCAGTTATTAAGTCAATCCATGTCATCCAGGGTCTTCCTTTCCTGCTCTGTCCCTCAACCCTTCCAAGCATGATGTCCTTCTCCAAAGACTGGTCCCTCCTGGCCAACTGCAAAATGTGCCCAAAGTATGAGAGATAGAGCCTCAAAATCCTTGCTTCCAAGGAACAGCTTTGTTTCACCCTCTCTAGAACAGAATTTGTTGTTCTCTTGGTAGTCCATGATACATTCAATATTCGTTTGCAGCACCACAACTCAAACGCATCAATTCTTCTCCTGTTATCCTTGGTCATTGTCCAGCTCTCTGATGCATAGCAAGTAATTGTGAAGACCATGGCCTGGGAAAGGCACACCTTAGTCTCTACACTGACATCCTTGCTCTTCAATATTCTGTAGAAGTTCCTGTCAGCAGATTTTCTGAATGCAATTCATCTTTTGATTTCCTGACTGCTTGTGACAAGAGTGTTGACTGTGGACCAAACAAGATGAAATTGTTAGCAACATCAATCTCTTCTTCCCCATCTATCATGATGCTACCAAATTGGCCCATTGGTGAGAATCTTCATATTCTTGAAGTTGTACATAGATAGGGAACTGCCAGAAGTTCAAGCAGGATTTAGAAGAGGTTGTGGGACCAGGGATATCGTTGCTGATGTCAGATGGATCCCAGCTGAAAGTAAAGAATACAAGAAGAATGCCTATTTGTGCTTTATTGACTATGCAAAGGCATTTGACTGTGTGGATCATAACAAGTTGTGGCTGACATTGAGAAGAATGGGAGTCCCAGAGCACTTAATCCTCATGCAAAACCTACACCTAGACCAGGAAGCTGTTGTGCAAACAGAGCAGCGTTTAAAATTAGAAAGGAAGTGTGTCAGGGATGTATTCTCTCTCCATACCATTTAACTTTTATAATGAGCAATTATTTAATAAGCTGGACTCTATGAAGAGGAGTATATCATCAGGACAGGAGGGATACTCAAGAATAGCCTTCATTATGCAGATGATACAGCCGTACTTGCTGAAAGTCAGGAAGACTTGAAGTACTAGTTGCAGTAGATCAAGGAATGAAGCCTTCCATATGGATCGCATCTCAATGTCAAGAACACAAAGATTCTTACCACTGCGCCTATATGCAGCACCATGAAGGATGGAGAAGAGATTGAAACTGTAAACAACTTCATCTTAACCTATAGCCACAATTAACACCCAGCAATCAGGAAATAAGGAGATGCATTGCACTGGGGAAATCTGCAGTTAGGGACCTTTCCAAATTATTAAGGTGCAATGATGTCAGTTTGAGGACTAAGGTGCATCTGATTCAAGCCATAGTCTTTGTGATTATTTGTTATGCATCTGAGAGCTGGACAATGAATGAATTAAAGAAGAATTGATGCCTTTGCATTGTGGTACTGGAGAAGAGTACTGGATCACATGGACTGCCAAAAGAACAAATATGTCTTGGAAAGGATGCAATCTGAGTACACTTTGGAGGCAATAATGATGAGCCATTACCTCACATACTTTGGACATGTTGCTAGGAGGGGCTATTCCTTGGAGAAGGACATCATTCTAGGAAAGGTGGGGGGTCAACAAAGAAGAGGAAGACCCTCAACCAGGTGGATTGATATGGTGACTGTAGCAGGCTCTTGTGTGTCAGGAAGTATGAGGATGGCATAGCATGAACAGTGTTTAGATCTTTTGTTCATAGGGTCACTATGAGTCACACATGACTCAACACCACCTAAAAACAGTTATCTATTTATCGTGTATGTGTGTATAGTATGTATGTATATATGCTTTGTGTGTGTGTATATATATATGTTGTATGTTGTTGTTGTTAAGTGCCATAGAGTTGTAGGCGACACATAGCGACTGTATGAACAAAAGTCTTGAATGCAAAACTTTCATCTTTTCTCCAAGTTCATAAAGTTTCTGGTGGTAAGCTTTTTTTTGTTTTTTAAGTGGATACCATTCCTGCTTCCAAGCCAGTTTTATTTGGAAGATCCACAAAAACCAGGCCCAAAGGCTGTAGGCCCTACGGCCCAAAACCCTTTTTTAAAGGCAAATCCAAATCCTATCATATTACGCCCCATTGTGAGCAAGAGCCATACCCTAATCTCAATCCCAAACCAGAAAACATACCTCGGCAGAATCTGGCCGTTCTGGCTATCTTCCCAGCCTGGAAATAGCCCAGGTCTGGCAGACAAAAATGTGTACCTTGTGTGTGTATGTATATATGTATGTGTGTGTGAATACATATATATACATTTATACATTATACATTATACATGCACACACACACGCACACACACGTTTTATCTATAAACCCATAGTCAGAACTCACCCTCCAGCCAGTTTTAAGAGTCAGTTTAACTGCAGGAGGACATTGTCCATCCTCCCATGGAGCAGCTGGTGGATTTAAACTGCACATGTTTAGGATTACAGCACAGCTTCTTCACACTAGGCTAATACAACTTTTTACCACATTGAAACCTTATGTGTGTTTATGTTCAATATGGGTGTGGGGGGGGGATGATGATGATGATGTTGTCATGTACTGTCAAGTCAAAAGAGACTCATAGCTGGCCCTCCAGTAGGTTTTCAGAAGCAGTTAATCCATGAGAGAAAACTGCCTATCATTTTCTCCTGGAGTTAGAGGTGGATTCTAACTGCATGCCTTAAAAATATAGATAGAGCTCTTTGCACCTCTGGCCGCCACAACAGGAGAAACTGCCACCGTGTCTGCAATTGATGGTCCTACGTAACTGCTCCAACTTCTTGATCAAGAGGAACAAGCCCACCTACAGCACAGAGTCCAATGACCTCAAAGCTCTCAACTCCTTCCATTACAATGGGCTGATCTATTGCAAGACCCTGGGCATGGAGCCAGGCCCCAACAAAAAGGAGGTTGTGGTGGTGATGAAGTAGAGGTCAGGCCACAGGAAGCCAGCCACCTCCTACATGAGGACCACCATTCACAACATCCACGCCAGCTCAGCAACATCCGCAACATGATCCGTAAGAACAAGTACCATCTGGACCTGCGCATGGCCGCCATCCACAGGGCAGCACCATCCTGTGCAGCCAGAAGAATCCTTGATGGTGAAGAGGAAGTGTACCGCTCCACCAGAAGCCCCTGAGCAACTGCCGCCCCAGCAATAAAGACAGCTCATCTTAAAAATGGAAGGAAGGAAGGAAGGAGGGAAGGAGGGAAGGAGGGAAGAAAGGAAGAAAGGAAGAAA